AGTGTCCCGCCTATTATTGTTAAGCCAAAATCAAAACAAAGTGTTGGAGTAACAAAAAAAGACCTAAACAAGATAGATGCCACTGACATGAAAATTAATAAGGTGATAAATGAATCCAATGGGTCAGTTGTTATTAGGGCAGACGACAATTCAGAAAAGGAAAAAATTAAAACAACCCTACAAAATAGATTAGATTCTCAAGTTTACGAAATCAGAGAATCTAAAGTTGTTAACCCAAAAATTAGAGTCGCCAATATGAGCGAAGAATATAATGATGTTGAAATAATTGCTAAAATAAAATCACAAAACGAATTCCTGAAAAATGCTTTTATAAAATGTGTGAAAGTTTTTGAACAAAGAAGAAATAATAGCTCGGTGTGCACCTTTAGCACAATCATCGAAATTGAACATGAGAAATACTTGGAAGTGCTAAAACGGGAGAAGATTAACATCGGGTGGGATCAGTGTGGCGTATATGATGGGCTAAATGTTAAAAGATGTTTCAAATGCTTAGAGTACAATCACAACGCAAATACATGCACTAAGAAGTTAAGATGTGGTCTATGTTTGGGTGAACATAAATCTGATGAGTGTAGTGCACAGGTAACAAATCCTGTCTGTGGAAATTGTGCGGATGCAAATAAAGATCTTGGTTTTAAGCTCGATACAGGTCATAGCCTTTTCAGCAAGGAATGCCCTGTCTACCAAAGAAAACTGAAAATACAAAAACAGCGGGTGGGTTACTAGCAACCAAATCTAGCAAGTGTTATAAGTAAAAAATCAGAAGATTTAAAAGTAATATATTTAAACGTTAATAGCTTAATACACAATAAACTTGAAATCGACAGACTAGTGGAGTTATTTGACCCAGCTCTTGTACTTTGTTCCGAAACTAGCATAACAGATCAAATTAGGGATGCTGAAATAGGTATAACATCGTTTACAGCAATTAGATGTGATTCACATAGTAGGCACACCGGAGGTGTAGTTATGTACATTAAAAACTCGCTGGAATTTAGGGTAAAATATAATAAATCCATGAATACAAATATATGGTGTATTATTGTGCAATTAAAAAATCTTGAGGTTAAATGGCAAATTGGAGTTATATACCACTCCCCAAGTACTAGTGATAGGGAGTTTATCAACTATCTTGATTCAATAGTAATGGACATATGTGATACAACGTCTAACAACGTAATTGTTGGAGATTTTAATATCAATATGAACAAAGTATCGACACACAGTGTGAAATTGAATGAGTTGTTTAATTCCATTTTCATGCACCAACTTGTAGATTTCAATACCCGAATAGCAGAGGCATCTGAGACAAAGATTGATCTCCTATATTCAAATGTGAAAAATATTGCATGTAAGAGGCTTGATCGACACAAAATATCTGATCATGAAACAATAATGTTTAATAATAATATAGGAAATCAAATCCCTCTCAGAGTGGTATCAGAAATAGTGGCCCCTATTATGAGTTGCATTAGATTTTCGACTGTGGTCGAAAGTGCTGAGCGAACGAATTTTCATTTGTTATTATGGCGCTCATTCGATGAAGAATAGCGCTATTGTGAATTTCACTCGTTTAGGTTGTTCACAATAGTATATTTTTCACCGCTGAGAAGCTTTGTTTACAAATCGAGCAAACTAAATAGTGTGCTTATACATATTCATGTAAATTTGTTCTAATTAAAATGAAATAAAGAAAGCGAGTTTATAAAAACGTGGTAAAATGAGTACAACGAGTTCTGGTTCAACGATTCGTCAGAGGATGAGAGCTTAGTAAACTGGCCAGGAGTAGCAAATTTTAAGAGAGTTAAAGTTTATTAGTCTTTCGAATATATTTTGATATAAAATGTATTTAAGAAATTTGTCTACAGATTCATTAAAAAGTTCCGACCATCTAAAGTGGCGTTTATGAGCCAAATCTATTTAAAATATTTTAGAACTATCAACAGCACTACGATTTTGTTCTCAGAGATCGTGCCAACGAGTATTGGGTTTTTCTTTCACAAGTAAAACCAGCCTTTCGAGTTTGTGTTTAGTATTCACGATGTTAGAACTGCATGAAATTAATAAAAATTGTTTAAAATTAGTGTCTAGCCGCCAAAATGTAAGAAAACCTATACAAAATCATACATTTTTCACAATCTTCTAACACTTCGCTACACCATCGAAAGCAAAATTCTGTTCGACAGAAAATTTGATACTCAACGAAAATTTCGACACGCTTGCATAGCTCATAATACGAATTTCATTTTCGATCTTCGATCTTCGATAGCCAGCGAAGATCGAAAATCGAATGCAGCTCATAATAGGGGCCAGTTTCTTGGGAACGGTATAGTTGTGATAGCTTAATTGATCTACTCAGATGTTACGATTTTTCCATATTTGATCAACTTGATTTAGACGAAATGGTAGCATTCCTTAATCTATGCTTGCTTAACAGTCTGCAACAATTAACGTTTGTGAAACAAATAAACATTAAAATAAAGAATAAGTGGTATGACTACGAACTGACACAACTAAATAAAAGAAAATCAGAGGCATACAATTTAGCAAAAGCATCACACCAATGGTCAGACTACTACAGCATTAAAAAAAAATACAAAAAATGATAAAACTGAAAAAAATTAAATATATGGAGAATAAAATTATAACTAACCAGTCCGATAGCAAGTTAATGTGGAAATATTTAAAACAGACGGTTTGCTATGATGGTATGAAAGATGATATTACATTATTACATCATGGTGGTCAATATATTGAAGATAAAAATCAAATAGCAGAGGTCTTAAATACCTACTTTGTTGAAAGCATAGTGGAAATAAATAATAATATTGAAAATATAGAATATAGTGATAACTTCTATTATAACATCG